TAAATACCTAATGATTTCCCTCCAGAATACTCTATCCTCAGCCACTTACATATGGCCTCTTCTACCACCACTCTTACTGAAACTTCTCTCAGAATGATCACTAATCAACAAATCCAAGTGTTTCAAAGACCTTTATTCTCCTTGACAAGCTACTTTTGACACAGTTGGCTACTCCTTCATAATCTCTCCTCTCTAGATTTCAGTGACACTACATTCTCTTGGTTCACCTCTTAAGATGCTTAATATGTGTTTATTGAATGAATATATATTGAACAATGAAATGTGTTATACCTTTTATATTACATGAGGCAGGGAAGGGGATGGTGAAGCAAGATAATGACTTCTGCCCCTTATTTCTCTACCTCTAAGGTGAAGAGCAAATATAGGTTTAAGATTAATCATGAATAAATTGTGCAATTAATGCATCAAACAACTTGAGGATCTTTACTTGATCTTGTTTCATCAGCTTAAAACTTTTTTTCAACAACCTCTAACAATATTTTTTTGAGGAATAAAAGAGTGAGAAAATGGCCTGAGACTTTCTACTCTTATAAAATATGTATTAAGAGAATAACTTTTTATCTGATTTAGAGTTGGGAGGAGCAAGGATGGATGGATTTATATTCCTCACATCCCAAACTGTGATAAGGGATGCATTTTCTTACAGGAAATTATAGTATAAGTAGTACCTATGTCAGTCTGAAAGGGTATTATATCATCATCATCTTTATCATCATCATATTTCAGGCAAATGTAGCCAACGCCAATTCCTCCTTCCTGTTTTCCAAGTGAATGGTTTTTCTGGAAGGGATGGGACCAGGAGTATTATTTAAAGGAAACAGCATCTCTACCAGGCTCCTACACTTTAAAAGCTTCTGGTAAATAACAGGAATTGCTTACAGCCTAGAGTCATATGAGTAAGCCTAAAGAATTATCTAAAGATTCTTAAAGGAATCTTTTAAAAGCTATTTCAAGAGAAATTTGGGTGTTTATTAGCTTCTTAACAAGTGAAGGTACCTATGTCAAGTGATCCCCTTTCTTGGCATCAGAGGAACAAAATACATTAATATGTATAATCAGCTTATTGGTGTATTTGTTGCCAGGAAATCTCTTGGAGCTTTGAAACAAACAACCTACTGCCCAAGGCAAACTTTTGTGAGTACAGAAGTCATGAGAAATAGTGGCAAAGGGGAAGGGAGTCAGTGTCTTTTTAAATACGTTGCAAAGAGAAATAGGTCATCTTCTAGAAAAACTGTGGAGGCTTACCTATCAGATCTATGGAGAACAGAAGAATTCATACCAAACAGGAGATAGAGAACATTATGAAAAGCAAAATGGATAATTTTGATTACATTAAATTGAAAAGTTTTTGCCAAACAAAGCCAATGCAACTAAGATTATAAGGAAGGTAAAAAATTGGGAAATAATTTTTACAACCAGTCTCTCTGATAAGGGTCTCATTTCTAAAATATATAGAGAATTAAGACAAATTTATAAGAATACAAGCCATTCCCCAATTGATAAATGGTCAAAGGATATGAACAGACAGTTCTCAGATGAAGAAATTAAAGCCATCTATAGTCATATGAAAAAATGCTCTAAATCATTATTGATTAGAGAAATACAAATCAAAACAACTCTGAGGTACCACATTACACCTATCAGATTGGCCAACATGACAAAACAGGAAAATGATACATGTTGGAGAAGACGTGGGAAAATTGGAACACTAATGCATTGTTGGTGGAGTTGTGAAATGATCCAACCATTTTGGAGAACAATTTGGAACTATGCCCAAAGGGCTATAAAAATGTGCATACCCTTTGATCCAGCAATAGCACTTCTAGGGCTATATCCCAAAGAGATCAAACAAATGGGAAAAGGACCCACATGTACAAAAATATTCACAGCTCTTTTTGTGGTGTCAAAGAATTGGAAATTGAGGGGGATGCCCATCAATTGGAGAATGGCTGAGCAAGTTGTGGTATATGAATGTAATGGAATACTACTGTGCTATAAGAAATGATGAACAGGCTGACTTTAGAAAATCCTGGAAAGACTTGTATGGTCTGATGCTGAGTGAAATGAGCAGAACCAAGAGAACTTTGTACACAATAACAGCCATGTTGTGTGATGACTAATATTGACAAACTTAACCCTTCTCAGCATTACAAGGATCTAAGATATCTCCAAAGGCCTAATGATGGAAAATGCTATCCACATCCAAAGAAAGAACTATGGAAGTTGAATCGCTATCATTTTTTTCTCTTCTGTTAAGTTTTGTTTCCTCTTTCTGCTGGTTCCTCCTATTGCTTTTAATTTTTACTCACTTCACTAATGTGAAAATATGTTTAATATGAATGTAAATATATAGCCTATACCAGATTGTTTGCTGTCTTGGGGAGGGTGGTGGGGAAAAAGGGGGAGAAAAATTTTTAACTCAAAACATATGGAACTGATTGTTGATAAATCAAAATAAATTAATTTAAAAAAAAAACTGTGGAGGCTTTCTCCAACTACCTATGAGACATCTCACCTATCAGATTGGCTGTACCATAGTCAGTGAGTCTATCAATATGCAGTTATTAAGTGTCTAATATTTGCCAGGCACTGTGCTAAGCTCTGGGAATACTACTACTACTACTACTACTAATAATAATAATAATGCCAGTCCCTCTCCTCAAGGAGTTCACAATCTATTGGGGGAGACAAGTAAACAAATATGTACAATCTTTATATAGAACAAATATGGAATAATTAAGAGAAGGAAGATACTAAATTTAAAAGAGATTGAGAAAGACACCACAGAAGATGAGATTTGAGGTGGGACTAGAAGGAAGCCAGGGAAGACAGAAGGAAAAGATGGGAAGCATTTCAAGCACGGAAGGAGGCCACAGAAAATGCCCTGAGAGATAGAATGTCAGTGTCACTGGATAGCATGTAGGATGTGGCAAGGTGTAATGTATAATAAGACTGGAAACGTAATCGGGGGAGAGTAGGTTACGAAGGGTTCTAAATGCCAAACAAAGAATTTTGTATTTGATATTGGCAATCATCTTGGATAGCGATATTAAACTCAATATATCTAAAACTGAACTCATCTTTCCCCCCAAACCCACCATTCTTCCAGGCTCCCAATCTAGGTGTCATCCTTAACACTTGTTTAACTTCGTATATCCAACCAGTTGTCAAGTTCTGTGTTTCTATATTCTTAATATCTGTTGTATGAGCTCTTTCTCTAATACTACAACTACCTTGGTCCAGGTCCTCTTACCTCAGGCTTGGACCATTACAATGGCCTGTTGATTGGTCTACCTGTCTCAAATCTCTCTACTCCAGTGTATCCTCCCCAAAGCTTTTAAATCCACCTTCCCAAAGAAGATCTAGCCATATCACTCGCCTGTTGATTGGTCTACCTGTCTCAAATCTCTCTACTCCAGTGTATCCTCCCCAAAGCTTTTAAATCCACCTTCCCAAAGAAGATCTAGCCATATCACTCTGCTAAGTACTAAACTTCAGTGGCTCCCTATTGCTTCCAGGATCAAACATAAAATCATATGGCTTTTAAAGTCCTGGCTTTATAAAATCCTTCATAATCCAGTATTCTTACACCTTATTCCTCTTCACTTACTCTGTGAGTCAATGTCACTGGCCTCCTTTCTTTCCCTTTTAGAAGGCACTCTAGCATTTTTTTACTGGCTGTCCCCTACATATCCTTCCTCATTTCTGCCTCCCAGCTTCTTTGACTTCCTGAAAGTTAGCTAAAGTCCCACCTTCATCAAGAAGCCTTTTCCTGTCTTCTTTGCTTTCCCTGTGAGGCTATCCCCAATTTAGCCTGTATAAATCTTTTTGCATAGTTGTTTCAATATTGTCTACCTCCATTGCATCGGGAATTGAGGCTGTTTTGTTTTCTTTTGTTGGGTTTTTATTTGCTTTTTAAAATTTTAAATCCACTTTAACACAGTGTCTAACACACACACAGTAGATACTTAATAAATGCTAATTGACCAACTGGTAATAGCAGTAACTAATAACAACAGCAACAACAAAAGTCTCATCAAAGGGTTTCAGTCTGGTCTGAGAACAATACAGGGTGCTCCCAGCTAAGAATTCGTTAGAACCAAGAACCTCATAGCAGAAGTTGGGTGGAATGTAATATGTGAGACACCTAATGAGATTAATCTGAAATTTCTGGAGGAACCAAGTCAAGGGAACAGAAGAGAAAAATATAAGTCTGAATTAGAAATGACTAAGAACCTATATAAATCTTTGGGTAAAGGTGTCCCACTGGAGAGTATATATCTACGTCTAAGGATTCTGCCATTTTCCTTCACCCTTTCAGTATAACTTTTCTTCTTTCATCTTATGAAACACAAATTTACTGGGGAGTAAGTATGAATATGGGATGGGGATGTCTCACAGGGATTTTTCAATATTTTCTGGGGCTGAGCCAGAAAAGCAAGAGTTAAGTGACTTGCCCAGGGTCACACAACTAAGTGTCTGAGGCCTAATTCGAACTCCTGAAGATAAATCTTCCTGACTCCAGGCCCACTCTGGACTCCACTGCGCCACCTAGCTACCCTGCCTCTTAGATAGGATGCCTAATCCGTCAGCCTGTACTACTATGTGTTTTGTTGTTTTAAGTATTTTTTTTTTGTATTTGGTTTATCCCGAGTATTTGCAACTTAGTTGCAAGCGCTCGTCTGGGAGGCTTCCTGCGATGCCAAGGCCTCACTCCCTTGGCGGGCTGGCTTAACCAATCCTTCTAGGGCAGCTGCCTCCTCCAACAGCAGCACTGCCTGGGGAATGTGCGGCCGTGGATCATTAGGCAACTCCGGGTGGGTACCGTCCAGGAGTAGGTCACCAAACTCGCAGACGGCCCAAGGGGGTAGCCGCCCCACATGAGACGGGACACGCCTTAGGCCGGGCAAACTCTCGGCCTCCCTTGGACAAAAGCCAGAAGCCGCGTCCGCCGCCACCTCTTCCCCCATCGCCCGGGCGGCGGCGGCAGCTGCAGCCGCTGCTTTTCCCCGGGTGTCCAGCGGCTGCACGCGCAGGTTGGCGGACGAGGCAGTCGGGTACTGGACCGATGTGGCGCATGCGTGGTGCCGCAGCCAGGCCTTGGGGCTGCGGCGGCGGCGGCGGCGACGGCAGCGATGGCGGGAGTAGTTGTGGTCACAGCCAGGAGCGTTTGGGCCGGGCGCTCGGAGGGGCCGGCGGCGGCGGCTGCTGCTGCCGCGCTGGTTGGAGAGGCCGCGCGGGCGGTGCCCGCCAGCAGCTGGAGGAGCGGTTCGCGGACCTGGCCGCGAGCCACCAGGAGGCGATCCGTGCGCGGGATGAGCGGGACCGGCAGAACGCGCGGCTGCGCGAGGAGAACGGGCGCCTACGGCTCGAGAACCGGCGGCTGAAGCGCGAAAACCGCAGCCTCTTCCGGCAGGCGCTGCAGCGGCAGGACGAGGAGCAGCCCAAGGAGCCTATGCGGGCCCCAGGTGCGGCTGGGGGAGGGGAGCATCGCGAGCCAGACCAGGAAGAGGAAAATGGAGGTTCCCTGGAGGTCGGCGGCCACGCCCGGGGCGTTGGGGCGGACCAGAAAGAGCGGAGAGCTGGAGGCGGCCCGGAAGAGCCCGGGAGCCCCCGGGCCTTAAGGGCCCGCCTCGAGAAGTTGGAGGCCATGTACCGCCGGGCCCTGCTGCAGCTGCACCACGAACAGCAGTGGCAGCACCGTCGGGCCCAGGCCCAGAAGGCGGAGGCAAAGGAGGGGGATGAAGAACAGCGGCTTCAGCTGGAGATCCGAGCTCCAGATCCCGCACCCCTTCTCTAGTTACGCGGCCTGGGAGAGCAAGAGGCGGGGCTGCTTTCCTGACTGGAATGGAGCGGGGAGCCCACCCCTTCCTTCCCCCGCCCCCGGGGCCCGCACCCTTGTCGTGGTCCAAATGCAGACACTTGGATGTCTCTCCTGAAATACCAGAGATCTGTGCAAATGGTCACGTCCTTAGGCTTCCCGCCCCCCACCACCTTCCGCTCAGGGCCAGGGAGGGTTCCATCCTTCAGTTGTATTTAGATGGAACCAGGCCTGGAGGCCCCGCGCCGGAGCCACACAATCAGGGACACACTGGCTGCAGACTTGGCCTCTGCCATGTGCCAGTGCCGGCTTTCTGTGTGAGAGCATCATATGCTGCTTGTGCTTTTTAGGTGAAGTTACTTAAAAAAAAAAAAAGCAAACATAAAACCAGCTAAGACAACTGGATGCCAAGCTGTGCCTCCTAATGACTGAACAGTCTCCTACTTCCTACCCTTCCCTAGTTTTTTCAGGACTTCTGTTTTGCCCCCTTTTGGTTCTTTGAGACTTGAAGGAACCTTTTTTTTGAGTTGGTTAGCCTGGTCATTGACACATTCTTTCTAAAGGGCCCAGCCATTTCTTTTGAATGTAGGCAGGGTTTAATTAAATAGGTGTTTTAAACTTAGAGTTTTGTTTTCTTTAAAAACCATTTTAACGGAAAATAATCCAAATTTATATTGTCTTTTGGTTCAAGCCTTATTTCTGCTAGGTACGGATTTATTTACCCTGACCATTTAAAAATTTTTGCCTGTGGGGCATTTGAATAAGTAAAACAAGTTAAATGAAATAAAATTTTGGTACACTAATAAAGGTTTCCAGGACTGTTATTTGTAGATTACGTTTTGTAGCACTTCATTTTAGATGTAAAGTATTTATCAAAATTAATTTGCTTTAAAAATGATATTCAAAGTTAAGCAGTTTTTATAACATTCATATTTTAGCAGCCAGTGTAGTTTATTTTTTACTGTTATTCAAGCACTTTTGGAATTTTTAACTAGATGTCATAAATTGACCAAAAAGTATAATTGAATAGTTAGACATAGTGAGGTATATGACACATTTTTGAGAAGCTACATACAGGTAAACCACTTAGTGAAAGCAGTTTCCTATGCATTTTTATAGTATGTGAAGCAGCAACTTCTTAAAGTGGTTGAGCTAACAATTCCAGATCAAGAATTCATTTCCTGAATAGATATGAACTTTATGATGGATAAGAACTTTATGATGACAAGGGGGAGAATATGTGTAGTTACTGCATTTCACATTTCTATTAGTATGTGACTTTATGGGTGTCTCTATGAACACACATTTTGTACTTGGTCCTTGTTACATACACATACATAGTTCAGTACCTTGTTCAAATCACTTTTCCTTTCTGATCAAGTATTAAAAAGAAATTGGTAAGAAGATAAAAGCAATAAGAATGATTTCCATCCTAACACTTTCATAAGAATGAAATAGGAACAAATTTTGTCATATGGCATATAAAAAGAAGTAGCTTATGTTGAGGAAAGAACCCTAGATTTGGTGTTAAACTTGGATTGGAATAGAGACTACCTGTCTAATCCTGGGGCAAGTCAGTCTTCCTGGGCCTCAGTTTTCTCACCTATAAAATTAGAGAGTTGGCCTATGTGATTTTCAGAGAAGTTATAAATCACATTTATATACTCATGATAAGAATAGTAACATCTTGAAGACTTGTAGAAATAAATCTTGAAAAATCTGTGAAATTGCTTTTCGGCCTAGTATTAATTCATATCTTTTCAAACAATATCTTCTGCCAAGAGACTTATAGATATTATCTTACTAATGTAGTTATGAAATTAATTCCAAATTTTATTATTACTTTTGTGCAGGTGGGGAAATGTGTTAAGTAATTCATTTAAGGTCAAAGTTCACATTAAACCATGACAAATATGGAAATATAATGAAAGACTAATAATTACAGAAAAATAAAACCACCTAACATGCAAATACTGATACTCATGTCTCTAGAATATTTTTACTGTATAAGTAATAGCGACTGCTAGCAACAAACCTACCTAGTGGTAAAGTTGTTATGTAAAATGTAGCCAAAAAATTTCATGAAGGCTTCCAAGCATAGTTCATGAAAAGCATTAAAAAAAAATAATTTGCAAACGATGTATATTTAAACTTTTAAGTTTGCTAAAATGGATTAAGTATGGTAGTGTTTTGTTGTAAAAATATGTTATTAAAGTAGTGTGTAAAATAGATATCTTAAGGGTGTGAACTCTGGTAGTTTGAGTTAAGGCAGTAGATCTATAGCATCTAAAATGGAAAACTAATACATAATTGCAGGTTATGACACGTTTTATGCTTTTAATTTTTTATCATTTTAGATTAACTTTTAGACATTGAATGGAAATCAAGGCTATTATTAAAAACCGTAGTATGTGTGGAACATAAAACAGTATAGTTGGTGAGACTGATTAACAGTGTTTTCTGACTGCCATGTCCAATCCTACTGATCACTGAGTACTTTAAACCTGCTCTGTTTTGGACTCAGGCAGGTTGGAGTCTCCTTAGACAGTCCGATACTCACCTCCCACTCCCTACCCGCAGTTCCTGGCTTGGTGCTGAAGGTTAACTAGTTTATCATACTGCAACTCAGAACTCCTGAACCTAAGTGATACATCTGTCTAAACCATCCTTGTAATAGGGATTACAGATGTTGTGTGCTTGTTCTTTATAGAGCATTGCAAGATTGCCAGATAAATCACTGATGCTTAGTAATGATAGCCTGTGTCTCCAGTTAACCATTAAAAGTCATACTCATGGAACAAACTTCGAACAAATTCTTGTCCATTATTTTTTAGTATATACTTGAAAGCTTATTACCTTACTTAAATATTATAAGATATTTCTTTGCTAATTGTGAATGGTTACTGCCATTATAATGGACTCATGAAATAATAATACAAACTACAAAAAAAAGGGTTTTTTTTGTTTTTTTTTTTCCTTTCTGATGTCATGTAGAAACAGAGACTTTGCTTCTAGGTAACAAGACTGCTGTCTTCTCATTAGAGATTCTCATGGAGACTTTGGCAAGCAGATTTGGGCAAATCTTGATAAGTGGTACAAACAATTAAAAATCAGCTTTGTAACTCTGCTTTTTCTTATTAAAAAAAATCTTTATACCTCTCATACATCAGGTGTACAAATTAAAGAGAGCACTTGTATTTTATCCACTGTGACTTTGCTCTGGCTCATTGTATTTGTGGCATGAGCATTTTATTACTAGCATGGATGGTGTGACAGAGGAGTTGAGCAGGAGGATAAATAAAATGGCAAACTATATTTCCACTCCAGTTATTTTTAGTCTTCACAGTCTGGTGTTTATTTGATGTGAATTTTGGGATATTCAGACACATCCGTATTCAAATGTGAGCATAAAAACTATTCTAAAGTAAATTATGATGTTTAGATAGTGCCTTTGCTTCTTTCCATTGGAGCAAACACTTAATAATTAACTGCATATTATATGTATAGAAGTGCTCTGAAAATATTTTAAATGCTTTTCAAATACAATTGGAATGCTTAGGCATAGAGAGTGGAAAGAGTGCTGTATTTGAAGTTAAAGACCCAGGGCTTTATACCTGCACCTAGTACTACTATATAACTTTGGACAAATCATTTAACTTCTCTCAGCCTTAACACTGAGGTTAAAGACCAAAGGCTTTCTTGCAAAGTAATTCAATTACCATTCTTCTAAGGAAATTAAATGTGGGTTCTTGGAGTTATCCTTGACTTCATTTTTGTAACTTACTATTGCATATGATACTTGGCTTAGATTCATTTTTTAAAAATTCCTAGTGAATCTGTGAAATACTTTGAAGATCCCTTTGCGTAATTTACATGTTTGAGAAAAAAAGAAATACTTTTGTGTATGGAAATATTTTCTTATGCCACCATTTTTGAATTCCAAATCGTTTTTTTTTTTAGCTAGGCAATGGGATTAAATGACTTGCTCAGAGTCACACAGCTAGTAAGTGTCAAGCCAAATTGTTATTTTTAATGAAAATAAAACAACCTAGATTCAGTAAATGTTCAGTATCTGATCAGACTACTTTTTTCCAGCTCCTCTTTTCAACCCTATGCATAACTGTTAAATTGGATAAAAATATAGAAGGGGAAAAATGTCTGTGCAACCAGCTTAGTGTTGATAAGTTTTTTTTAAAAGGTTCTATTGCTGTTTTGAAACATAATTTAAATCATTTAAAATTTCTCTCTAAAGAAGGGTTTGTCCCATACTCATCTTTTTGAATATGTAATGGCACAAGAATTCTTAATTTTTTCCTGAACTAAAACCAACTTTGTACCAGTTTACTTGAGCCTTCCTTCACTGAACAAACCTTACTTTCTTTTAGATTATTTTTTATTATAGTTTATCATTTTGTTGATTACAGTTTTTTGTAACCATCCATTCTTTTTGTGGCTTGATAACTTTTATCTCATTTTTTTAGACATAGTCCAAGATTATAGTTGTGCTTAAAAATTTATGGAGTTTTTTGATTAAAGGGCATGCTATTGAATATGACTTTAAAAAAAAGATAGCTTTCTGGGGCAGCTAGGTGGTGCAGTTGATAGAGCACTGGACCTCAAGTCAGGAGGACCTGAGTTCAAATGTGACCTCAGATCAGACACTTGACACTTAATAGCTGTGTGACCCTGGGCAAGTCACTTAATGCCCATTGCCTCACACACACACACACACACACACACACACACACACACACACACACACAAACAGAAAGATTGTTCAGGAAGAGGAGAGGTCATGAGTTGATATCAGTTATAGGACTCATAATAAATAATATAATAGCAATGGAGTATTTACGAAATTTTAGGATTTATTCTAGTACTATTTTAATTATCCTATAAAAGTAAAATTTTTAAATAGCTTTGATACATTGAAACATTAGATAATGCTGACAACAAAATTTTGTCTTGTTAGCTCAGTTGATTAGAACATTGTACTGTTGAAGACTGGGCAAATAAACTGGCATAGTTTAGCCTGAAGAAAAGAAGACTCGGGGAAAATATGATAGCTTTTTAAAAGTATTTGAAAGTCTTTTATGTGGAAGAGGGTTTAGACTGGTCCTGTTGGGCCTCAGAGGGCTGAACCAAGAGCAATATGTGGAAATTGCCAAGGCAAATTTCAGCTTGCTATAAGGAAAGGTTTTTAGAGCTGTCTAAAATTGAAATTGGAAAAGGAAATGGCAAACCACTCCCATATCCTTGCCAAGAAAATCCTAAATGGAGTCACAAAGAGTTGGACGTGACTGAAGCAACTAAATTACAAAAAGACTGAAACAACCTCATGAGGTAATGGTTCTCCCTTTATAGAAATGTTCAAGGAAAGCATGGTTGCTTTTCAGTCATCTAGGTTTGTAGGCTTAACATCACCCTTCGCTATCCCTCATCCTCCAAAAACAATCATTATTAAGCTTATTGATTTTCCTTCCATAACGTGTCTTATACTTATCCCTTTTTTTCCATTCAAATCACCACCACCCCAGTTTAGGCCCTCATCATCTCTCACATGGACAATTAGAATAGTCTTCCATTGATCTCCTTCTCTCTAGTCTCTACCCTTTCCAATTCATCCTCCCCACAACTACCAAAATTATATTCCTGAATCATAGGCCTAACCATGAAACTTCCTTGTCCCCTAAGTTTCAGTGCCACCCATTTTCTTCAGGATAAAATACTGTATATATTTTTCTCTTTGGCATTTAAAGCCTATAACCTAGTTACAGCTTGTGTTTCTATACTTACTGCTATTACTCCCCTTCACCAGTTCTGCAGTCTAGGCAGAACTTTGCTGTTTTACACACAGCATTTCAGCTCTCTCTCTGTACCCTTACACAGACTGTCCATTCCTGTAATGCCTTCCCTCTTCATGGCTGCATCTTAGAACCCTAAGTTTACTTCAAAACTCATTTCTAGGACCACCATCTACATGAGGCCTTTCCTAGTCCACTAGTTATTAGCTTCTCCCCCTAAATATTATATTTACTTTCTATATGTTTTTTATCTGCCTCTATAAGTACATACTGCTTCTATCACAGAATATGTGTCTTGAAGACAGAGACTTTTTATTTTCGTTGAAAATTAAGGTTAACTGAGTGACAGTGATACCAGCATGATCAATTTATTAATTAGGCTAGCAGTAACAAATAAATTGGATCAGCAGCCTCTCTCAATGACCAACAACTCTGAGTGAAGGCCTACAGGTTCTTTTAAACCTAGCTATGTCTTCCTTCTTATTGGCCTGACAGTACATTATTTGGACTTCCCCAGGCAAAAGTAAAACAATCCTGATTGGTAGACATTTTAATGAGGAGGTGGGTTGAGTCACCTCAGCTTCTCAGCATTACTTCCTCCTTGGGAACTAGGAGTGCTCCTTAGGTATTGGAGTAGGCTGCAGGCAATGGGAGTAGTCAACTGCAGCTTCGGCTGAATCAAATTGAATTTGGTTTGAGTAGGTGGTGGGTGAGGTTATAAAGGAACTTGCATGAGGCAAAATGGGTGTTGGGTAAAGTTACAAAGATGGATAATACAGGGTGGAGATACAAATTAAAATAATAGAATTGAGACTCAAATGACCTGAGACTATCACAGTAAGAGGTAATTACAACACAAAAGCTTAACCTTTAGGCAAGTTTTGTTTGTTTTGTTTTGTTTTGTTTTCCTGAAAGGTAGGTGAAGAATGAAAGATAAAGGGGTATGAACCTATGTTCATCCTCTGAAAGATTATGCTCAATTTAACTGAGTAGTTGATTCTTGGTTGTAATCCGAACTCCTTTGCCTTATGGAATATCATATTCCAAGCCCTCCAATTTATTAATGTAGAAGCTACAAGGTCCTGTGTAATCCTGACTTGGTTCCATGAAGTTTAAATTGTTTCTTTCTAGCTGCTTGAAGTATTTTCTCTTTGACCTGATAATTCTGGAATTTGGCTACACTGTTCCTTGGCCTTTTCAATTTGGGATCTCTTTCAGAAGGTGATCAGTGGATTCTTTCAATGACTTTTTTACCCTCTGGTTCTAGGACCTCAGGCCATGATGATTTCTTTAAAGATGATGTCAATGCTCTTTTTTTGATCATGGCTTTCAGGTAGACCAATAATTCTTAAATTATCTCTCCTGGATCTACTTTCCAGGTCAGTTGTTTTTCCAAAGGAGGCATTTTACATTTTCTTTTATTTTTTCATTCTTTTGATTTTGTTTGACTGATTCTTGATCTCTCAAAGAGTCATTAGCTTCCACTTACCCAATTCTAATGTTTAATGAATTGTTTTCTTAAATTAGCTTTTGTACCTCCTCTTCCATTTGGCCCATTTTACTTTTTAAGGAATTCTTCTCTTCAGTGAGTGTTTGCG